ATTGCTCAAAATACATTTCAATATTAATGTAACTTTTATTGGGAGAAGTACGCGTAACCTAATAAGATCAAGGGCTGTAAGAAAGTATACTCTTTTACAGTTTTTTACAAAAAGTATACAGATTTTTTTCATATTTGTTAATTATTAACACCACTAAACAGCTTTAAAAAAGACAACCCTGAAAAGATTAAATACTAAAATAATCAATTGTAACCTTATTGCTTTTACAATTTAAATAATTCCAAGTAAGAGTAAGTGTACAATGTATGTATTTGAATATTACCAAATTTCATGTCGATATCATAAATATCGCAAAGCCCGGCTGTTGATAAAAGAAAAGACGAAAATTGGCTGTAACTAAATAGTTGCTACTGGAGTAGCTATGGCAATTTTTATTTAAAATGACGCTCGCGAAGCGTCCTGCGGTATTTACATGGGTTCGGGATATTTGAATTTTAAGACTTATTTATATAGCAAAGTTCAGATTTGAATTTGGTATCATTGGAAAGAGGAAGGCCTAGTCTTTAATACTGTATAAGAATTAAGTGTTATTATTCGCAACTGTGGCAGCTACTTTTGATATTAATGGAAAGGGAACGATCCATTCTGTGATACTGAACAAGCATTACATGCATATTATCTGCAACTGTGGTCGGTGCAGCAATTTTTATTTATACCAAATAGAATTTCCAATAATTATCACAATTGCAGCTAGTAGCAGACAATTCTTATTTTTTAGTAAAGGTTAGGCTTTGCTCTTCTCAGTGATACCAAACGGAACACCAAATTCTACTAAATAAGCTTTATACACACGATTTCATTCGTAAAATGTTTCGTATCGCATTTGGGAGATAAATACCCTATAGTGCCTCGCCGAAGCGACAAACGTGCGGTTACACTCGTAGCTCTTACGGACGCACTCATAAATACAGAATTCAGTGTAGTAGTAGCAAAAATTTTTCTTAACTAGTTTGGAAACTAAAGTCTTTCGCAAGCAATATATAATAGAAAAAATTGTTCAAAATCATGTCCTCAACAATATATTCCAAAATCAGTGCGGTGCAGGCGTAGTACAACAGGTCCACCCAGAATTTTTATTTCGGAGAAACTTACTTATGATAATAAAATGTTTACCAACTTAAAAAACATACAAAGATTAGATACGTCGAAATTATGATATAGCATTGAATATATTTTTGTAAATATCTTGAAAATTGAAACCGAGCAACAGTAACATGTATATGAAAAAGTTATTTAGAAATATGCTCCCGATAACATATTTCAATCTCATTAGAATTGGTAGATGGCACCCTTTCCTGTATAATTATCTATGTTTTTAAATGAAATGTCTCATGTACATGACATGTCTCAAAAATAATGGACACATTATTTAAAATTTAAATATTTTTTATACTTTTATGATAAACATCTTTCAATCGTATATATTACTTTTAATTTAAAAAATACAATATTTACAGAAAAAATATTTGTTTACTAATATAAAAATGTTGGACTTACACGTTATAATCTGGATGCAGCTTTGAATAATTTTTTGCTATAATTGAAAATCATAAAATGTCTCAATACATGCTAAGAGATGGTAAGACATGCTTAGAATGCAAAACTTTCTAAATTGTTATAAGATTTAGTTAACGAATTGGAAACAACATATATATTTTCAAAGAATATACACAGGCGATTTTAAAATAACAGTGATTTTTTTGTTAATATGGCGGTATTAAGTTTTAATTTACAAGAATGTCTACAATTGAATGCAAATCAGTTGCATGATGTCATCTTCAAAGCATAAGTGACAAATTATATTTTTTGGGGTCCTATGTATTAATATTTATTAATAAATATTTGGAAATAAATAATTTTTTATTCATTTTTTTATAATATTCCTTGTGTAATAATTTTTATTTTTCAAAATGAGACATATTTTAAACATGGAAAATTAAATATACTATATATTTGAACAATTAATAACGATAATAGTAACAATGATTTTTCAGAAATTAAAAAATCGCACTTCTGATATAACCAGAGGAACAGTTCAAAAATCTGTTTGTGTACTAAGTACATTACCATTGTATGGTCACATTCAAGTTAAAATGGCATTAATAACACATGCTTATTTTGAAGAAGGTGACTTCAGTAAAGTATCATTATTAGAAGATACTTATCATCACCTTAATTCTTGTATGAGTAGTGAAAGTCAAATACCACCTCAAGTATTTGTTGGTAATTATACAATAATTACAACTAAGTCTACTTTGATAATTAAACTCTAGAAAGCAAGGTACAAATAAATACTTTGTATTATATACATACATTAATTTTTGTAGGGTTATCTGCAAGAGATTTAATTTTGCAGTTTCGTCATAAAGTTATTTTATTATTTAAATTACTTCTATTAGAGAAAAAAATAGTGTTTTATCAGTCACCAGTACAACCATTATGTGTAGCAATATTGACATTACTTTCACTATTTCCTGGTATGATTGAAAATGGTCTACAACAAGCTGCATATGTTAGGTAATTAAATGACTGAATATTTAATTAAAATTTCATCAAAATATAGAATTTTATGAAACATAAAAAAAAATTTTTTATCAGGCCATCTAGACCCATGTCTCCTATACCTACATTTGATGAAGAAGAAATGTCAGTACATACCATTGACAACAACATATGTTCTATAAATTCCATTAAAGATAACATGTCAGACACAGTGAAAGAACATATTAATGGTAATTCGAATAATCATTCAGTGTGTATAAATGATAATAAAACTGTTGAAACTATGGAAGGTAAATGCATGGATGAATTCAGAAGCTTGAATCTGCAGAAGAATAATAACGAAAATGAAAATTTAAATATGAAAGTTATCGAAGTTGAATCTGCACAAGAATGTACTGAGTCATATGCAGAGGAAAATAATACAATGTATTCTAGAAAACCAAATGACTATGTACACAAAGTACAAAGTATAAATACAATTACGTTAGGTACAACAGATACAGACAATACTTTACCACGTGACACAAGTAACGACGCACTTTCAGATGCTCGTTTGACAAATAATATTACTCAGATTGCTCATATAAATCCAGAACTTTGTGGCTTACCTCTAAATCTCTTTACAAAGGTATAGAAAGTAAATGATTATACTGCTGTTACAAATACATGATGTATAACGTAATTGTTAATAATTTCTCTATTTTCTTAAGGGCTATTTATGTTTGCCATATTTATCATTACCATATCTGGATCTTTTGGCAGATGTCAATGTTAGAGGATATATAGTGGGAGTGACAAATGTTCTATTTAAACAAAAAAAACAACTTATTGATGTATTAGTAGAGGTATGCTTGAATTAAAATATTGGTGTTTAAGTAATACATGGTACACAGATGATCAATATTTTTATTGTGTATGGAGGTTGAAAGTATGCGGATAGAAACAACTGATCCAGAATTGAGAAGGCAATTACACCTTACAACAGAGGATCTTAGATTTGCTGATTATATAGTTCGACATGTGGCAGAGCCACGTAAAGATATTTTTTTGGATGGTGTAGGATGGGAAGGTGGAGATGAATGGATCAGAACTCAATTTCGTGTCTACTTACTGAGTATGTTGCGAACATCTATGCAACAAGATACTCGTCAATCTGATCATTATAATTCTGCATTTATTACTGCTTGGCGTACAACAAATAACTATAAAATGTGGTGCACTTCTAATAAACCAGAAATAAATAATATAGAACCTGGTCATCCATTTGCGGGTCAATTATCAGTCCAAGATATGAAATTACGGTTATCACAGTGAGTAATATTATACAGTGTATCTATTGATAAAATAATTATTAGAAAAAAAGTACAATACAAAATACATAAGAATAAATTATGTGCATATTACAGTACAATGCAAAATACAGAAAGTGGTAGAAAATTAAATCAAGCAATGGCATCAACTGGAAGAGCTGTTGCAACAACAGGAAAAGCCGTAGGTAAGTCATTAAAGACTAATTACGGAACTACTGACACACATAAATATATATAACATTATTAAAGCAAATTAACAGTGATATTTTCAATAAACTAGGTGGCGCACTTTCACAAGCAAAAGGAGCTTTTTCTAACTGGTGGAGCACATTAACTACTGTTCAACCAATTGAAGAGGGAAAAGCTGACAATCAAACTCCAAATATACATCAAACATTTTCAAATATAACTAATAAAACTACTATACAAGATGAAGAAATGAACGTGTCTACTAATAACACAAGTTTAGAAGTTGTCGTAGATTAATACAGAAAACAGCAGTTTTAATCGCTTATTGCAGCGATTAGGAAAAACTTTTTTGATATGTAAAAAAGTGATATGATACCTACCATATTAATAAATACCTTTGGTAGAGAAAGGATAATTTATGTAAGATGTTGATGTATAAAACAAGAAAGTTAATTACATCTGAAAAACACTTCAGGTAAGAAATTAAATAATTGCAAAATGAATAGCGTACTTAAAATAGAGCTTAAACGATTTAATATGTGATAGCATAGAAAAGAAGTAATATAAAGTCTCTAGTAACATTTCATATTAATAATTTACATGTAATATGCTCTGATTATTCTATTTTCAAATTAGAAAAATAAATTTTATTCTATCAACCCTTTTGCTGCGGACATGAAATTCGATAAACCGCGGACATTAAGTATTCATTGCGTCTACCCTTAAAAGTAACGAACTATTTTTGATGAAGTTGAAGATATAAAAAAAAATTCAATGAAAATTAAGTGCTACAAGGGACACAAATTTTGTCTGAGACAAATTTTTTAATATATTATTAATTTAAAAAAAGACAAAGGTCAAGTTTCGTCTTTTATATAGAATTATATATTTTTTGTTAACTTGTTCAAATGCAAATTCAATAATCTATAAAATGCAGGATTGACCACGTGACATCTATCATAATTTTTCAATCATTTCCAGCGATTTGATGAAAAAATGTTTTACACAAAAGTTAATCAGTTTTTAGTCAGCTATAAACTGCATTAAAAAAAAATTCGACGCGCTCACATATATAAAATTCACTGTAGTAGTAACAAAAGAAAGAGTTATTCAAAACATCAATTTTTATCAACATTTGTCAATCTTACGAAAATAGGTAACGGTGATCAAGGACTATACTATTACCCGAACATTTCTTCATCAAATCACTGGAAATACTAAAAAAATTACAGTAAATATTATGTGGTACACCCTGGATACATTGATTGAGAAAATGTAACAAAATTTTATTAGTAGGAAATATCCACTATGGTGTAGATCAAAGGTGTCACTCTTCTTGGTGTTACCATAGAGTTTTGTGGTGGTTGCGGGTTGTTGGGGGATGCTCGCTGATGATGAATGCGGTAGTGGAAGGGGTAAAAGGTGGAGAAAAGACTTCTTCCGGCTTCACTGATCGCACAGTCTAGTCGACAAGAGTTACCTTCTCCATACCTATTTTCCCCTTCTCTTCCAGCTATTCGTAAACGAAACAGACTTAGACATTTTACCATATATACAGGGTGTTTCTCAATTATAACGCACAAATGATAGGGCGTATATAACTCACTAAACTAAGTAAACAAACCCGAGTAAACATAAATCTGAAACTCAATAATTTTCGACATAAAAATTTGTTTTATTTAAGAAAAAATGTATGGCGACCGAATCAAGAACAACGAATCAGTGATACGAGCAAATATGTGAAACAAAAGTTACAGGGTATAAAACACTACATATCACGGCGGGAGGTATTTTACCGCGACGTGATCATAATACGTCCTGCAAAGGTCATGTTATAATTTTTAAATTAAACCCTATACTTTCTATTCCATATTTTTCAAACCTACATTCAAACTTTCTAAATCATAGAAATTACATTTTTTGCCTAAGTCGCTATCAAGATATCAGCATCCAAAGTTGCCGGTTCGCCGATAGCGATAGTAGCCGACGGTATGTAGTGAGATGTAGTATTTTATACCCTGTAATTTTTGTTTGACATATTTGTTGTATGACTGATATTTTTCGAGATAATTCGGTGTTCCTAATTCAATCCCCGTGTATTTTTTTCAAACAAAACCTATTTTTATCTCGAAAACTATTAAGTTTACAACCCATGTTTACAGGGGAGTTTTACTCATTTTAATGAGTTGTATACGCCCTATCATTTGTACGTTAGTTCATGGTGGGAGTATCGACTAACTGAGAGTTAGATATGGGTAACTCCTAAAGTACAAATAGTAAAAAAACCGCTGATTGAAAGTTATTACGAAGTTTAAAGAGAAGCAGTTCGACACTCCTGGTGTAAAAATAAGTCAAGGGTATACACATATATATATATATTTTGATGGGCATAATTATATTTTTTTGGTTTTCTGTAATTTGTACTTGAGATCTGTTATTTTTGTTTGCGTAAAAATGCTGTTACACGACTGGATAAAGCTCTCACATTTTATTTATTGTTGTTTTTAGTTGAGGGAAGAAATTGTGGGATATAAAAGAAAGACTTCATTGGCAGCATGAAGACCAAAATTTTTCTAATAATAAATGACAACGGTATTGCAACTTACTATTACAATTTTCATCGTTGTAATTTAAGGTTAAATAAATGATTTTTCACAACTGAACTTACAGTTTTATTCAACCACGAAACAGCATTTTTTCAAATAATCTTAATAAGTTATTAATCAAATAGGCACTGGAAAAAATAATTTTAGAGTATCATTTGTCATGTATTTTAACATACCTATACTAAATAAAAATAAGGGATTTCAAGTACAAAGTACAGAAAAATAAAAAAATCGGGTCAGCTTAATTATACAGTGTGTTCCTGCGAACTGAGAACACCTAATTTTCTTAAAAAATATCGGTGACATGATTCTTCGTGTTTCTCTGTTTCAGACAAAAGCTATAGAGTATTAAGTGCTATATATCATGTTTTCACTTGTTTGACCTTAATATGACCTTAAATCGCCTTGCAAATATCACATTAATATTATTAAATGGAAACGTATTTTTTTTTTATTACATATTCTTACAGCTAATGTCGAAACGTTTTCAAAACACTAATAACGTTATGTTTACTTAAATTGTTGTTGATATATAAACATTCAAATTTTATATGTCCCTGCTGACATTAACGTTATCCAATGTACACTGTGAGAAGATTGCGCACTCGGGTTTTATACGTTATAATGGCTCTTAAAAAGGCTGATACATAAAAAGTGTATGTGTTTGTAATGTATTTGTATGTGTGTTTAGTCACCTACATTGTAAGAGTTCACTGTCTGACGTTGTTTACAAATACGCGTTCGTTTATCAAAAACTTCGATTGGCCTTTTTCTCCAAGGTGCAGATCGGATAACACTAATGCCAGCAGTAACATATAAAATTTAAACGTTTATATCTTAACAAAAATTTAAGTAAAAATAAGGTTATTATAGCTCTTCGGAAACGTCTCGACGTCAGCTATAAGAATATTTAATAAAAAATATATGGTGTTATTTAAAAACTATAGCGTGATAATTGCAGGGTGGTCCAAGGTCATCTCAAGGTCAAACTAATAAAAACATATATGTAGCACTTAATACTCTATAGCTTTGGTCTCAGATGCTTCTTTATATCACCCATATTTTTGAGAAAAAGAGATATTCTCAGCTCGCAAAAACACACTGTGTGTATATATACGCAGTATATCCTACTTATCTGAGAACCCCAAACTATTTAGGAAGCTATGAATGATACGAAAAAATGTTTCAGTTGAAAGTTGTAGGATATAAAGAGACAATTATGTTCCCAGACGTTTTCAAAGCACTTGACACTAACTGAGTTTACAGAACGCGTCAATTTGACGGATATTAAATCTTATAAATATTGTTTGGTAAATGTTTACATCGATTTTGATCGATGCAATTACACGAATATGTATCTCAATTGTTTATTTTACGTAAACCTAGTCTTAAACTTGTTATATTGGCATAATTCATTATAAAGAAATCTGCATTTATATTTGACGTGCTGCACAGTGCGGAAAAATGGCCGCCTTTTGAATAAAATTTAATAACTTTTATAATTTCAATAGCAGAGACATGAAACAAACGGGGTTCTTATTGTTTTAATATGCACCATAATTTGCATTAGTAAAGTTTAATTATCGTTTATAATTTGACTTTGAAGTGGTTTATTTATGATAAAAAAATAACAAAATTGTGCAAATGTTAAAAAATCGTATTTTATATTCATTTTAAATTTCATTTAAATGTGCATTACAATTAGACATACCATATTCATCATTCATGATAAAAATTATTTTATAGAAATGTTTTTTGTTTGTGGAACAACATGAAGAAATTTTGTTGTCAAATATGATTATTTAGACATTTCAACGTAAGTTGAACATAGTTTTGTTTCGATGTTGAACTATAACTTTTTCGACTTTCGTCCACGGTTTGCCGTACTGTACACTACCGTTATTAATGTTACTGATGTTTGTACACCGCGGTGAGATTACTCAGTCGGACGATGTTTGTATCGGTACAACTGTTTATGCGAAAATAACAAATTTGTAGTTTCTTGAAATTGTGTTAACGTACAAAATCTTTTGTATCTTGAAGACAGATCATTTATATTTCGGCCTATGTTCACCAAGACTTTTTTACTCGATACAATGTATCTTATTCATCGTACAAAAATTGCAATACTTTATTTAGACATTTTGCATAAATAAATTTGTGTCACTTTGAGTTAGATATACGCCTAATAGTGAATTTTAGACGTTAGTTAACACTTCATACTTGTGTTGCTTCACATTTGTGTTGCATTGCTCTTTTCAATTATCGAACTAGTTTACTGCTCTTTAGAATTCGTAGCATCTTATTGTTTTCATGTTAAGCCCAGGTTCATTTTAAAGCGTGAAACCTCTACCTTCAGAACCCTCAATATATAAGTTTCTTCCATACAGAAAGATCACGCATACAGCGAAAGATCTCTATTGTCCCTGTATCGTCTCGCTCGCCTTCTTTTATGCAACGGACGGTATATATAGCATGTTAAAAAAGATCATAAAATATTTATGATCGGTTACTTCTTGATGTGCAGTGGCATGCTGTTCCCGACTGTAGTCAACAACATCCCGCTTATAATTGCGCACTGTAATCTCTCCGACTAGTTTCTAATATATCAACATCCATCGATTTTAATGATTTTTAATATGTTGTTAGGGGCATGATTTTTGGACAACTTTTTCCTTAAGCAAAATGCACGGAAACCTCTAGTTTCCGAGACAATTGCGAAAAACATTCACCAAAATTACATTGAATACTGTTGATATATTAGATTTTTCTCATCTCTCTCGTTTATATATTGAACATACAAAATGCAAGAGATATTGTTTATAGTATAAACTTTATACGAACAAATGCCTGACATAAAATATTTCAGATATCTGCTACGATCAGGCGTCACTCTGCTCACATATCCTCGTAGCTTTCCCTCTGCACCCTACAAATGTAGTTTCTTGCTATGACTCCTTAATGTAGATGCATATATGTTCTAAGTCAGCATACTGTCTTAGTTGGATTGTGAGATGATTAATGAACATTAATTTTTTTCCTGTTAACCATAAGTATTCACAGTTGAAGTAACACATCTTTCTTCATAAAACGCTAGGATCGAAGAATCGTCCAGCTTCGACTACCAGGTCCTTATATCGTCTGTAAAGGTATTGTTCAAATTGTTCAAATCGATAAAGTCTTGAACAGGATCAGATAGTAAAATCCACGAGGCTTGACTGATCGGTAAAGAAAATCGAAATTGTTTGTGCTCTAAAGTCATAGAACATGTAATTTTGATTAGAGATTAATTGTGAAGAAACATCTCTGATAACAATCTCTGTAAGTTCCCTGTCCATTAACCCTATTCTGTCATCCTGCGAATTGTACAACTTCGTTGACATAAGATCGGATAGTGTTGATGTATTATTGGGGGGAGGGAATACATTTCAGGATCCAAATTAAGTTTGCCCTAGCTTAATTTCTATCTTCTAGGGTATCTTTCCTGGATGTCCTTAAGACCTTATGAACTCATCATAGGCTAGAGTGCAAATTCGTTCATCATCGCGAATGCCCTCTACCAAAGTCTTAGCCACAACTGGTTTCATCATCTAGGTGAGGAATGCCTGAGCAGGTTGCTCAGTGTAAGGTTCAACGCATCCTCAAATATCACCGATAATAAGGATAACATCTCATCCTTGGATGCTTGTACCAGATGTTGAAAGTTGGCCACCACACCAGGTACTTTAACTGCATGATCAATTTCTTCGAAAGGGACATGGTAGGCTACATTCCAAATGAAAACCACAACAAACACAAAACTCCAACCAGGTTTTAAAATAACTAACTAAAGTAATTTCATCTGCTTTATTTTATTGTAAGTAATAAATGGCGCGGGCTCAGGGCTGATGAATAGTATCTGTATTCCTCTTCAATACTTTTTCTATTCTTTTGTTCTCTTTTCTTTTCTCTTCCTGTCTCTGCGTGTATTGTATGTAGATATTATATATAATTACTCGCGATGAAAATTGCACACTGATATATCAACGATACTATTTGTTTATATCAGTCACGGACTAAATATTTTAACTAAAAACAAATTAACAGCTTCACTTCAATGTATTTCTATGATGTATGTAAAAAATCAGAAAAAAGTTATTGCTTGTTACAAAAAAATATTTACTATTATGACATAGAAAATGTGTAGAATGATCGTTCTTAGCCAAGCATACTCCATCCTTTTGGAAAATGCGATCGATGTTATTTATCGATTGGACCGCCTCCGCGCTGTTGCCCAGCTAAGAATGATCATTTTACTCGCTATCTTTCTCTTCCTCTTTGGTAAAGATTGTGGTTATCTTTGCCTTTATCTCCTAATCCAGTAGCAGTATTCAGCATCCTCGCCTAATAGTTTACCATAGATGCGCTGCATTCATCAAATGATGGTTTATGCTTCCAACTAGTTTTTAGGATCCCGATCCCTATTTCGGCATTTTTTAAATGTTTCCTTATTCATTATTTTCGTTTTAGTTACCAGTTTTGATTCATCCTTACTATTTCATTTTATAAGTATTGTCCATGCAGGTATGATGAGCATTTCCAGTCTTGTAAAGACACTTAATGAAATACTAACCATCTTATATGAGAGTCAAACGCAAATTTACCCCTAAAATTAGATATGTGAAACATTTTAAGATTTCAACACTCCCAGCTAGGAAGCAAGCCTACAGTTGGCACACTGACTGTTTATACTAATTAATCCTAATTAATAATACAATGATGTAGATAGATTCTCAAATTCACTGGAAAAGATGATAAAAAAAGTAATCTACTTTCTATAAGACTCATAATATACAAAATCTCTTTACACCCCATTGTCTTTACAGTCATCACAGTGTTGTTACAAATAATTGTGTTCGTCTCAATACTCTAACACAATGACTTGTCTCAAATTTTTATATACTCATTTTTTATAAAATATACTACCTCTTTTATCAATAGAAGCTTCTTTAGTGATGCAACTTTCACTTTCTTATGTACAATAATCAGCCTAATTCTGAAGTTGAATGCTTCTACCGAATAGCTTGTATGTGATTTTTTATTAGGGTAACAAGAAAGTTGTTTTTTTAGGAAAAAGTAAATTTTATATATTTAATCTTAAAAAGAAGATTAACGGATGACATATTGGCCATTATTTTCTATAATCTTCATCCATTTATTAACCAAGTGATTTATGCTAAATGTAAAGACAACCTTATCTTTTGACCATAATAAAATAATAAAAATCACCTATGGACCATATACACTTTAACTTTAAATAGTCCAAGAAATGAGCATAAATTATAAGTTTCTGTAGTATTATACCCAAGTTGAAACTCATAAAGCGTAGAGTGTTGGAAATGAATTTTATCTTCATTCATAATAAATATTTATTTTTCAAAATTTAAAAATCAAAAAGGATTCCACCTTAAAAATTCGGATTCAGTGATAATATTTATTACCAAATTCAAGTTTCTTTGCATGGAAATGTATATACAAAATAGTGTTAATGCAACAGAATATGGTTTTTAGTGTCCATAAAGTTCAAATTCAGCAAATCACTTACAAATAGCATCTGTCACGTTTTATTTGACCTGATTCCTTTTAAATCACCGATTATTAATTGAGATATATTTTCCTACTGTATATGAGTCATATTCAAATGTTTACACATATCTTGCATATCAGAGGTTTTACAAAAAGTGTCTATCAATTGTGTACATATAATCTAATTACTAAAACTCCGCATTATAAAAATAGCTGATACTATTCTGATACTCACAGACTGCAGTGTTTCTCTTGAAATATAAACTACTACGTCTATTGCACGTATTATTACACACAATGTAGCTCTCACATCTTGGCCGAGCACCGCCAAGTCAAAAGTGCACAGGGGCAAGGAGAATCGGTCGCACGCTTTAGCTTGGTTCTTTCAAGAAACATAGTAGTCGAGTCTCCGTGTCCCTGGGATTTGGTAAACATAAAAAGCCGCCGTCGCGCAGAAACGAAATTCGACGCCAGTGTTCATACATCTCACTTCATCGCATTCCGTTTTGCTTACGTTTCTTGTTGCGCAACTCGGTCAATAACAAGAACGTGTCGAAACTGAGGCGTCACCAGTGTAGTCAAATTGTCTCTTTCCCACTCTTTCCTACGCTTTCTGCGATTCCATCCTCATCAGCGGACGTCCCCCAACAATACCCGCAACCATCACAAGACATACTGGTAACCTCAGAGAAGGGCTAACCGTATATCCCTCAAATTCCTCGATCTGGCCAAACTGGGCGTCACTGTTGCCATAATTACCGGGTCGAGCGCCATGAGTGGACATTTCCCCTTGCTCTTGAGCACTTTTAGCTTGTCGGAGCTCGGTCAAGACGTAAGAACTGCATTGTATATACTATTCTTTTTCCTTTTCTTTTTTCTTTGTTTTAAGTTAGTTGGATATTTGATGTCAAACCTAGTTTAATAGTCCTCTAACACTAGTATGAAACAAGATATTTATTGCATAATCATATAACTCACGGCATATAGTATCTAGTTGTACTGTACTTGTAGGTGCTAACTTTGCCAATTTGATATAAATTAATAAAAATAGCAAAACTAACAAAATCTGTGTTGATTTAATCACTCTATTTATTTTAGTATTTTGTATTTTATGTCGTCTGCTTATATTAAAATTTTAATTTATTACTGGAAATTTGTTGGCAAATGGTAATAAATGGATATAAATTAAAAAATCTCATAAAAGCTTTTGATGATTGTAGATTATGTTACATTTTATGTACTATGTTTCAAGATTTTTTTTCTCTATATTTTCGAAAGAAATGGTTACTACTCCATTTATAAAGATAAGGTAAAGATAACAAAGATAAAATAACATAATGATTTTGTTTTGTGTTATGTTTTCATTTTGAAGAAAAATATTTAATTCATAATAAATTTGATAGACTATGAAAAAATACCTTGCAATATATCTTTTTTAAGTTTCTTATAAAGAATATTCCTCTTCGCAGGGTATTAATGCATCCAGTTCAACATCGACTCATCACCCTTCTATTATTGGTTCAAAGTATGTCAGGTTACAAGTCTTAAGAACTATTAGCTTGGTTATATTTGCAATAGTTTTCTAGCATTCTCGAAAAATTGTGACTAAGTATGTTACTTCAGAAATAGAACAGAAAAAAGTAGTTCATTAATGTATTAATTCACTTGTTGCATCTACATTTAAAATCTGATTAGTGATGCTATAAAAACAGAATTTTTTGACATAATAAATCTATATACAACATGAATTGCTAATACACACCCATTTATGTTCATTATTATAGCAGAAAAATCAGAACATATTACAAATATATTATTATAATAGTTCTTTTTTAGAAGGAAATATTTAAAATAACTTAAGAACATTTTATAACTTGTAATACTTATACTGTATTTCAAATTAGGTATTTATAATGTATTATGGTAGTAAAAAGTAGCATACTGTGAACAGTAATCAATAAAATATGTATTTGATTGAAGTAGGAAATGCATTTTTAAATTATATTTTTTTTTCTTGGGTTACTAAAATACTAAAGTAATCGTTTTGATACAAATTTTACTAACAAACTACAGGTTTATGCCTTAAAAAAGAAATAGACTGTCATCAATGTGATATAGGTTTTATAATGCAATTAAAATGCATTACCTACTAATAGATTTTATTTATTATAGTAAAAGTTTATTATATGACATAATATTAAGAAGTATCTAAATAATTAAGAATTATATATAGCAAGCATATTAATCTATTCCAAAATATAAATAAATTACCAGTTGTGATATTCTAC